GGGGGGGGGGGGGGTGGCAAGTGCCCTCCCTTGCCCCTACCTGCGGGTGCCCATGTAGAAGACTATTGAGATGAGAATCACACATAATAATAATTTTCTAGGTATGTAGGTATATAGGTGCGTATGTATGTATGGTTGTAAGGCTCTGTTAAAATTCCCAGAAGTTGGCACTAATTGGGATTCTGATAACACAACTGGAAAAGTGTTAAATTGATATATAATGCCCCCCACCCCAGATAACTACTAAAGTTATAAATTATTATTATTATAACGCTTTTTACTAATAGCTGACACATTTTTTGTTTTGTTCTGTCATTTTTTTCAGGTTTTCTCGTCAGGTACCTTGTTTGAAATACCTCCTACAACTACAAGGCATTAAAGCACTTTAGCGTTAGGTGAACCAGTACTGTTAAATACCTCCTACAACTACAAGGCATTAAAGCACTTTAGCGTTAGGTGAACCAGTACTGTTAAATACCTCCTACAACCACAAGGCAATGTAATAAATTAAAGCATTTTAGCCTTCAGTGAACCAGTACTGTTAGCATTTAAATGTTTTTGAATCTATTTCCCAACTGAACCTGAATATAAATATCATTTCCCCCCACCCCACCCCGTACAAAAACTTAAGATGGTTGGTAGAATAGATGCCAATAGAAAGTTGTAACAATACCTGGGAATAGGAAAGTTGGTAGAATAGTTGGGAAGAGGAAAGTTGTTAGAATAGCTGGGGATAGAAAGTTGTTAGAGTAGCTGCGGATAGAAAAGTGAGTAGAATAGTTGGTTTAAAACTTTTTTTAAAGATAGTGTTAAAAATGCTCAACAGCCACAAAATATCACACTTCGCCAATAGCAACTCAAGGCATTCCAGGATAGACCAAAAGATTTTTCACTGTTTCAAAAATCATTAAAATTAAAGTCACTATGTAAAAAAAGTCACATTAATTAAAAATAGAATCCAATAAAATGCATTAAATCGCAATGAAAAAAGCCTAGTTTACTTTCAAAGCTATTTACCTGAAAAGATCAGGTGGCAAAGCTGTTTACCTGAAAAGATCAAGCGTCAAAGCTGTTTACCTGAAAAGATCAGGTGGCAAAGCTCTTTACCTGAAAAGATCAAGCTGTAAAGCTGTTTCTTTGAAGGAGTTCAGAAATGAAGCAGCATCCCCTTTATTCCAAGACAGTTGCAGCCAGGGTTCAATCAACTGTTCAACAAGGACATAGGAAAACCCTAGAAAAGCTACACACATTTACATTACTAGAAAATAGTATTTATTTTTTTTAAAATTAAATTAATTAAAGATGACAATTTGATAACACTTGATCATGCTCACAATTTGATAACACTAGATCATGCTCACAATTTGATAACACTTGATCATGCTCACAATTTGATAACGCTTGCATATGAGCTCACAAGAAGAAAAAATGTATATCAACAAGAGCATGTATTTTTCTTGTCTGTTTTATGTACTTATTTGATAAGAAAAGTCAAAACTGACAACAAAAGTCACTAAACTGATAAGAAAAGTAAAAAAATTGTAAATTGAAATTTTAACAAGAATAATTATAAAACTTAAATGAGTTTAAAATGTAACTACAACAAATTACACAAACCAGGAATTCTCTTAACCTTAAAAATAGCATATCACATGACTCCAACATCTGGTCACTGTTCAATAATATTAGCAGATAATTTATATGGTCCAATTTTCAAAGTCCACAGCTAGCAGAGATGCATGTGATCAATAAACCCTAAATGCAAGGGGTTGTGGGGGAGGGAGGTATGGGAGCGCTCCAAAATTCAAGCCACAAATTATCATTTAATTTTAAAATGAACAATATCAGCCACTTGAAAATAATGATTGCCACATGATTAAAACTATCAGGACACAAAACTTACTTTTTCATAGACATCAATAAAAATATCTCTGGATTCTTTACTGTGATTCAATCCACTGGCGATGTTGATAATGGTCTTTGACACAGACTGAATAGAATAGACAAATAAGTTAGTGCATGCTGGAGATACAGACTAAATAGAATAGACAAATAAGTTGGTGCTTGCTGGGAGATACAGACTGAATAGAATAGACAAATAAGTTGGTGCATGCTGGGAGAAACAGACTGAATAAAATAGACAAATAAGCTGGTGCATGCTGGGAGATACAGACTGAATAGAATAGACAAATAAGTTAGTGGATGCTGGAGATACAAACTGAATAGAATAGACAAATAAGTTAGTGCATGCTGGGATGTAAAGACTGAATAAAATAGAGAAGTAAGTTGGTGCATGCTGGGATGTAAAGATTGAATAGAATAGACAAATATGATGTTGGTGTATACTGGGAGATATAAAAATAAAGTGAAAGCAGACAGGCTAAGCAAATTTTGATTCAATTAAGATGGATTTTATGGTGCCCTAGAGCAGCAGTCTTCGACTTTTTATTTTACAATACAGTAACAATAGCTGCTGCAGTGCACCACTAGCCCTGTGCCTTGACAATCCCTGCCTACTGGCCCTGTGCCTTGACAATCCCTGCCTACTGGCCCTGTGCCTTGACAATCC